ATTTAAAGGGAAAAACCCCTCGCCCAAAGTGTGTTTGGTGTGACAAATAAAGCTGCAACACACCTGCATAAAGTGCTGATCTTTCTTCAATATCATGACAGAACAGCACATTTAAAGAGCTTCGTTCAGGTACGTGTATAATTATTGCTATAATATTTAGCATTCATTTTGGTCCACCGTTTCTGTCGTCTACCCCCCTTCCCTCCATCGACGTATGTGGTACTCGTACAAAGTATTGGTTTGGTTCCCTCTTTGGAAAGATATTCATCCAAGATCTCCGCTTCCGGCTGTCTGCTTGGGTACTGGGTCCCACTCAACCCATGTTGGCCCTTTTGGTGTTTGAGCAGCAACCCCCTCCCCATCCCCCTAAATTATACGAATTATGATGCTGGGCTGTAAAACACTTGCAGTTATTTACAATGGACGTAAATGCTTCTTTGCGCCATTTATACAAGGGCCAAACACTTTACGACTATTTTTACAACCATTTCTTATTTTCTTTCTCCCTCCCTCCTTACTCTTTCTACAAGGACAAAAATATGCTTTGTCACAAAGGTGACTTTATTTTTAACTAGTGTAACAGCCTGGTGTGGTTTGCTTCTTCTTTCCTATCAAACATCTATCGTCCTTATCTCCCCTCCTTCTTTTATTATGTTTGTTACTCTCTTGTAACACCTCTAATCTTCTGGCGCTCATATGACCTTATGCAGTTGCGAGCGCCGTAAAACCTCCACTAAAACAAACGAAACAAAAAATTGGCGATCAGCTTTTGTTATGATTTGAACCTAAGGAATAAAAAGATGAACGCAGTAACCTTAATACAGTGGTATCATGATATTGCAGATTTGACTATTAGAAAGACGGATTTTCTTAGTAAAGCTTAATCAAGCATGCTGGTGGTCAGTAAAATAACTTTTTCTGCTCGTCAAGCGTTACATTTTCACTAAGGCATACCCTTATAGGTTCGTATGTATGACTCAAACTTACGTATATCCCAGTCAAAAGTTATACTCGTCTCATGACCTGGGGAGATATCGTGGAGATTTTTTAGCTCCAAACGCCGTAACAGCCTGACATATGTTGGAGTGGTCATTCGCCAGGGAAGCCTCTTCTTAATGATTGGTGATTGATCGCTTGACCGCGAGGAGAGGCAGACACGGCAGAGGTGTGGTCACTGTACTAAGGAACACTGAATACTGAATCTGTGCCTATATCAGGAACTTCCCTGTTTTGGCGATTTGCACAAACCCAAACACAAATCCACTGAACCTACGAGGGATGTACGTTAAAATAGACGTCGCGCCGCACCATCTGTCTGTGTCTGTGTCTGTCTGTCTATCTGTTTCCCCTCCTCTCTCTCTCTCTCTCTCCCAGATTGTTTGGGTATGTATTTGTGCGCAGCTGCGTGTGTGTGTGTGTGTGTGTGTGTGTGTGTGTG